AAAGAGAGAAAGAGAGAAAGAGAGAGAGAGAGAAAGAGAGAAAGAGAGAAAGAGAGAAAGAGAGAGAGAGAGAGAAAGAATCAAGCTGGCTCATCGGACGTGCGCCCCCTTCGGGGCAAAGCACGTGAGACAGAAAGAGAAAGAGAAATTGTCATCCATGGACCTTTTTGAAGAGCCCGTTTGCGTGCGACAGGCGCCTCGGATCGACGGCGTCATTAAGGTGGGCTCAAACGAGACAACTTTCTCCCTTTCTCAAAGCTGTTTGTGTTTTTTCATATTTCGTTTTCCATAGGAGATTTAGTCTACCTCTCCCCCCACCCCCAGCAGCAACGAGGGAGCACAGCGGCAGAGCAGAGGAAGGAGCAGAGACCATAGGGACCCGAGAGTTTCAGAGACTTTGCTTGACCTCTTTGAGGCGCCGGCCGTGACCCCGGTGGCGCCCGAATCCCGGCTCCTAGCGGACACCGCTTCCTCGAGGAGAGCAAAGGGAGAGAGAGAGAGAGAGAGAGAAGAGAGCGAGATTTCCGAATATTTCAGAGATGGGTCAACACAGCCGTATTACCCTTCTTTTTTCCATGCACCATTTTTTTGCTGGCTGTGTCCTTTCTTGGGCTGAAGAAGAGTAAACGAAGTTCGGGGGGTGCTGGCCCCCCCCCCCCCTTCCCCACGCGGCCTTCGTGAGAGGAGTCGGCGCGACTCGCGGCCCAAGTCCGCCGAGCCGCGCGCCCGCGAGGTCGGGAGTGGGGTTTTGTGACGTGCATGTTTTTCGGCAATCTTCACGACGCCCAAGGAACTTTTCATGAGCTTGTGTCAGGGGATTGTTTTATTGGGCCCGGGCCCGGGTCCGTTGCGAGGCACTGCCGCGACCACCGCGGCGCGAGGCCACACGCAGCTTGTGCAGTTTGTGCAGCCTTGTTCGGGCATGTAAGCGGGCACGTACATAAATGGGCATGTATGGGCTATGGGCTGCTTCTTCGACTTTTGAGAGCTCGGGGACCCGTTTGAGATGGTCCCCACGGAGCCAGAGGCCATGTCGAGGTGTTCCTCCGCTTCGCAAAGCCCTCGCTCAGGCGCCTCGGGTCCGGTGGCGACGTAATGTTTCCAATATCTGCCAGTGTTTCCAATGTTTGAACATGTTTTGGAACACATGTAACATGTAAGAAAAGAGGCCGAACGAGATAATGGATGCGAATTGCGTGTAGCAGTTGAGGCTTCCCAGGATGTGTTTGAGGATGCTCGAGCCCGGTCCAAACTCGACAACCCGAAAGGAAATCAAACCCGGTGACGGAAGGCCCTTGCGGCTCTTAAGTGGTGCTTTCAGATACAACTTCAGTGACTCGCAGTGACTCGCTGATCGCTTGCGCCTCCATATGAAAGCTCAGAATCCTCGAGCTGTGGAGGGCGCACAGTCCGTTCTTAAAGCTTTCGCGAGTTCGAGGCAGATTAACATGCATTTCAGTAGGTACAGCTGAGCACAAAGGAACATCGTAGTGGCTTTATAGCGGCCTTGGCGAATCCCATCCAACACCCCAACACCCAGCTGTGAGCATTCACGAGGGTTGCAAAAACGGGTGCAGCTGGCGATTCTGCAGGTCCAACTACGCCCAGGAGTAAGTTTGAGACGTCGCTTCACAGGCCAGGCCCGAGGTTTCTTGTTGTTTTGTTCGTCCATCCAGGCGCAGATAGGAACCTGTCTGAGCGTGAAAGGAGGGAGAGCAAGTTGGGCCAGCCACAGACAGGCGCGCCAGCATCGAGTCCTGCATAAACAGAGCAAAATAATAGACTGTAAACGGAAGACAGTCGCCTTTTGGACCAAAGCTGAGGTGCCAAGGCGAAAGTCTTGATCATCCCTCCGCAGGCGAGAGCTCCCTCTCTCCCGCTACTGTACCGGTATTCAAGAGATCCAGATGCCACATTGTGCGAGCAGTGTGTTGTGCTACATGGTTTGGGTACGCTTACAGCTTAGAATAACTTGGCTGGACCTGAGACTTGCAGGCTGGACAGCCTGCCCGGCCTACCCGGCCTGCTCGGGCTACTCCCAGCCGCTCTAGAGACACCGGAGAAACCGGAGACACCGGAGACATTGGAGACATTGCAGACATCGGAGACATCCTCCACAGGCGCCTCAGCTTTCTTCAGCTCACGAGAGTCTACACATAAAATCAAAAAGCACATATGTGTGTAAGAGCAGCCTTTATGTATTATTTCACCGGGGTGGCCTCAAGAATACTCAAAGACCCTGATGTCCAAAACCCCGCGAGACGTGGCGCCCCAGAAGTTGATTTTTTTGAATTGCTGGAAAGCTCTTATTGCACCCCCCTTATTCAATATATGGCGCCCCCAGCAGTTGTTTTTTTAAACCCCGAAAAGCTTTTGATTGGCCCCCTCCCATTTTTTCAACCCTCCACCCCCCTTTTTTCTGCTACCCCCCCCCCACCCCCGTATTGAGTTTTTTCAATATTTCAATATTGGGGCCGGGCTGCGACGTGGATCCAAGATTGTCTCAAAGACGGTTTTTGTGGACCTGGATCCCGTGCCCCAATATAGAAATATGGAATCGTTTAAACATTTCAATGTTGGAGCCGGCCTCTCCCATATATGCAAGTCGTCAATTTCCCACAGAGAGCCGCTGCAAATAAAATAAAAAGATGTGCCCCGACTTCACGGTTTTTCTTAATGCAGAAGCTGTGTTTGCAATCGCAGAGTGCCTCAGTAAGCAGCTGAGTGCCTCAGTAAGCAGCTGTTGGAATCTTATGCTCCTTCCGAAGAATTAAACAGCTCAGAGACTTCGATCTTCCTTTAGGCGTTGTCTTCTTTGTTAGCATCGGCCGCGAAACAAGAATGTCTTGGTCTTGGCTGTCATGCCAACTTAGCTGCACTGGCGTCTGTATTTGTGCTTTTTGTACCTTTTCGAGTTTTGGCACTTTTCGCTTTAGTTTCTTGGGGCATTCCTAGCGTTTTGGCAGCGAAAATGCCAGGACTCATTGAGGTATCGAAAGAGTTTCAACCTTAAGGATAAGGCTTAGGCATTTAAAACCTTAACCCTAAACCATTTAGGTTCACGACCCTAAAACCTCTCAGTCCATTCTGCCGGGGAAAAAGGAGAGAAACAAAAGAGGGAGAGGGGAAGTCTGTGGTGGCTTGGGCTTTTGGTGAGTGGAAGGTTTTTTTACATGTTGAGTTTTTTTTGGGGAAGAAGGCGACACCTGAACCATGCCTAAAAGTCCATGCCAAAAACCCCTAAACGCCCGAAGCCAAAAAAAGGAGTCAGCCTCATTTTGTTGGTAAGTTGTTGCGGCTACAGGCTGCAGACTCCCGTACAGACCCCGTAGAGCCCGAAAGCCCCATGTTGCGTGCTAGCTGTTGCGGCACAGAGCCCCCGAGAGGCCCGACACCAACGATAGAATAAGCCCCATCCCCCATCCCAAGTCCCAAGCCTACCCAACACCCGAAGCCTTTCTCCCTAAACCCTAAACCCTAAACCCTATACCCGAAACAGGATCAGTGACTCCAAGCTTCTACGCTCTATAAATCCGAAAAGCTGTCTGGAGCTCTGGAGGAGGGCAAGGGTCAGGGGTTCGGGCGTGAGGTTTCGTGTCTTAAGTGCAATTTCTTCGTAGTAGTAAGACACAAGCAAAGCAAAGCGGGCACATTATACGTAAAGGTTCCTGGCACAGAAAGGTGTATATTTTTTTTTTTTTTTTTGTGTGTGTGTGTGTGTGTGTGTCTGTTTGTTTGTGTGTTCGTGTTGTCATGGGTTCACCTTCGGTTCGCTCGTCGACTCGCAAGTGGGTGCTTCTCCTCCTTCGTCTTCTGCTTCTTTGTTGGCCGTCTTGGCACCGCAGGGAGCACCCGAAAGCGCCGCCACCTTCACCGGGTGCTGGACTCCGAGTCATCGATGACAAGGCTCGGACGGAGACCTGCTGGCACCTGCAAGAAGCACTCGCGTGATGCCAAGCGGACCGGGTTTTCAAACGGAAGTTGATAGGGCTGAGGTGCTTCAGCTTTCCAATCATATTGCAGATAGTGGCTGAGCATCAGCGAGGTGCTTTATGTTGGGCGCTATCAATTGTTCCATCGTTCTTGTCCAAGGTTTCAGGGAGTAGCTGATTTCTGGTGCCGAGCTGGCGTTCAGGATGTGCTGCAGCTATCTTCTGACCTAGTGCAGCTCTCACATGTCCTAGTGCAAGTGATCGCTTGCAGGTCCCCGTCCATCCGGAACCGAGTGCCGCGCCACCGGTGCAGGACTCTCCAAACCGGCGTGTGCGTGCTGTGGGCGTGCGGCGTGCGGCGTTGCGGCGTTGCGGCGTTGCGGCGTTGCGTCGTTGCGTTGAGCCTTCGGCAGTGAGGATGAAACTCCGCTTCAGCCGCGTCAGGCGGGCCTACCGCGAGCCTCCAGCGCCTCATCGGTCTCTTTTTTCTCCTTTGGTTTTGTTTCGGGGTTGCTGCGGGTCTTCGAAGGCCAGTGCCCTGGACGAGAACGCGCTCGCAGAAGAGGCCATCAAATTGAAAAGCTTTCGAGCGCCCGAAATCTGTGCTGGAGAAGGGGGCATGCAAAACAGGTCCTATCCGTTTGGGATGTGCTTTTGAGGATGCCACGAGTTACTGGCCACATTGCGATTGTTGTTCTGCATATTGCGGCCTTTTTAGTGGACTTGCAAGATACCTTGGACCATTTGAAAAGTCACGGTACTCCACGCGGCTTGTCGAGCATCGTGTGTAGTTTGTGGGGGAAGCCGGGGGAAGCTATTCCAAGAAAGCCCGAACTAAAGCAGTCGTGCGCTGATCGATTGAGCACTTGCAGGAAGCGGCCCATTCGCCGAACGAGCCGGAAGTGGAGGCTTTTTCGCACGCTGTTGGATCGCACCTTCCACGCTGGCTCGATTGTTCATTGGATTCAGGCACAGCTCTTTCCAAGCTGCAAGCCACTTTCCCCGATCCGCGAGGCAGGTAGTGTGGTGAAAGCTTGCGGTGTCATCGCATGCCGGTCAGAAAGCCTGCGTTGGTTCCTTCGAAGCCATCCTGCAGCCAGCTAATTCGAGGTTTCGGAGAATGCGGCGCCCAAGGCACAATGTGAGGGTCGATCCGAACATGTCGCGGCCATTTGCAGCCATTCCAGTATCGCGGAACATTGGCCGTGGGCAGGCGCGCGAAAGGTCCCGGGGCTCGAGCTCTCAGCGTCAGCGAAGAGAGCTTGGCTGGCCTCCTAGCAAAGACTCTAAAGTTTCTGCGGATGCCTTGCTCGCAGAATTTGAGGTTTGAATGTTGAAAGTCCCGGACGTAGACAGGGCGGCAACTTGCAGCCGACACAGGTTGTGGCAGGATCTTTTGCAAAATTTCACCGATTTCGCGGTCTGCAGCCACCCTTATGAGATCTTGCTGGTCTGCCGCAGGAGAGGGAAGTTGTTATCTACCATCCAGAGAGAGGCTCGCAGCAATTGGGCTTTGCAGTTGCGTGAAGCCACGGATATTGGATGCAGCTGGACATAGCTGGACCATCGGATCCATCATAACAAACCGCAGCCGTTTAAGGCCAGAGAGGGGGGGGGTTCTTCAATCATATTGTGCGAGCCCTTGTCTCCAGTCCTCTGAGTCCTCTGCGAATCTGCGATTTGCGCCATGAAGCTGCTCCTTGTGGTCTCCGCCACGTTGTGCGCCCGCGGCGCCGCGGAAGCCTTGGAGGCCACGTCGGAGAACTGGGAGGAGAAGGTCCTGAAGCCGGTGAAGGCCGGCAAGATGGCCTTCGTGAAGTTCCTGGCGCCATGGTGAGGCCACTGCAAGAAGCTGAAACCTGACTGGGACCCTTGGTCTATGAGGAGAGTCTACTGAGCATACTTTCCACTGTCCACAAATCAGCTGTCTTCACTGTTGAAACAGCACTGCAGTTCACGTCCCTTTCGTGAGAATCTTCACGGGCTTGGGCCGGGCAAACATCCTGAGAAAGAGTATATAAAGACATTTAGTGTGGCACCAGCATGTGATGTTCCTCACGACCGGTACCATCGGGCCGAAGCCTGCGAAGCAGATAGCTAAAGAGCGGCCTAAGCCTTGGGGACATCTGAAAAGAAGCTGCTCTATGACTCTATGACTCTATGACTCTATGCCTATGCCTTTCCCTTATTGCAAGAACACGACTCAGCTGAGGACAAACTTGCTTCCAAATGGAACAAGCCTGACTCAAATGCCGTCATTGTGGATGTGGATTGCACCATGGACAATGTGACCTGTCCTCTTGATTTCTGACATCTTCTGACATTTTGGAAAAGTAAAGGGTGGTGCGCAGACAGTTTTTGGGGAGTTGTTTTGAGTTCTTTGCGGGCCAACGAAGGCAAAGGATCTGTGCAGCCAATATGGCGTTCAGGGCTACCCCACCCTGAAGTATTTCAGCCCGAGCACCTCCCCAGAGGGAGATCCCTACGACGATGCAAGGGACCTCAAAGCACTCAACAAGTTCGTGAAGCGGGCCGCCAAGCTTCCTTGCGCCCCCGACACGGGCGAGAATTGTGACAAGAAGGACAACGCCTACCTGGAGGCTGCCACGTGATCTTTGCACTCTCGCTGTCTCCCTCCCTCTCTGCCTCCCTCGCCCTCTCCCTCCCGCTTTCTCCAGAGCTGCGTGTTTGCCCTTGTTCCAGGAGATTAAGGATATGCCAGCAGATAAGATGAAGGAGGAGAAAGCCAAAATGCAGAAGGACGATGTGAGCGGAAAGGTATAAAGCGGGAGTAAAAAGCGGTAGTGGGGGGGCAAAAATAAGCAGTGATGGAGGTGGGATGTCTGCCAAGAAGGGGCTTTCGGGGACTTTTGTGGTCAGGAGATGGAGGACCTAGAGGGAGAGTACAAGGCAGCCGCCGACCTCTTCGAGAAACAGAAGGAAGAGGCCATGGCCACAATGAAGAAGCAGGAGGATCTCAAGACTCCCAGCTGCATCAGCTGATATGAGCTGCTGTGAGGTGCTGTAAGCTGCTGTGCAACCTGTTTTTGCTGTTTCATGGAGCGGCACACCAAGGAAATCGTTGGGAAAGCTCAAAGACAAGACAAACTACAAGATTGCCATCCTCAAGGCGAAAACCGGTGACAAAGACGAGCTCTAAGCAAACTTATGTGGTATGTCAGAGAAGCGTTGCATGAGTCTCACTGGGGCATGAAGTTGAGTCGGCAATTTCCAGCCACGCATGTGCCTGCAAAGAGAACTTGTGAAGCCACTAACGCTGTCCGGACATCTCCGGATCGTCCCTTATGGAGAGCGGTGGCTGAGTGTTCGCTGTGCGGGCCGTGCGCTTAAGCGGCAAAGTTTTGTGGCGTCGGACGCCCGGCAATTGCACGACTCGTTTTTGCCATGTGAGGCCTCTTTCAGTCTGTCAATAGCACTTGCTGATCTCCACATACCATTTTGTCCCAGAGATACGACTGCGGACAAACAAAAAAGGGGTTCAGGGTGCGGAGGCTGGCGGGGGAGTGTCATGGTGAGTGTGGCGGCGAGTGTAGAAGCGAGTGTTCAGCAAGTCTTGGCTCCGAACGGCTTGCGGCGGTTTACGGCGGTTGCGGCTTCGGAGGTACAATCTGCTTCGACAAGCTTTCCTAGCAGACAGCAGATGAGACAGCGTGCCCTCTTGGGCGTCTCGCAGGCGGGCTTTTTGTTTTCAGATCGGACTGTTGGATTTCAAGTCTGTGGTTGAACAGGTGCAGCCGCCCAGTTTGCTTCGTTGTCCACTGTCCATCGCTGTACAGTTGTGCAATGTTGTACATATGTGCTTGAGTTCCTATCCGCCCGGAGTAGTCCAGGTCTTGATAATGTTTGGCCTCGCGTCCTTGCAATGCTTGCGATGCATGCTGCGATGCATGTTGCGATGCGCAAGGTGCGCAATGCCTTGACGTTTCAACAAAGGAGGCAGTACGGGAAATGTATGGAAACATATGATGCCGGGAAAGGATGGGGAGTGGGAGTGCCAGCTATTGTACGTGGAAACATGTATCGGAAGCTTCTCAGAGTCTTGGAGCTTCCAAGTGACCGCAGCAGCGTTTTGATGCTTATAGCAGTGAAACATCGCAACCTCAGGCGAAAAACACTCCGCAAACCATCAAAGTCTCTCACTTTTACATTCCACCGGTCTGCGCTGTACTTCCATAGCTGTCTCCAAGACTCAGAGCCATCAGAGCCACCTTGCCGACTTTTCGACTTTTTTAGACTTTTTAGACTTTACCTCAACCCTCAACTACTTTGACTTGTTCTCCTTCGAGAGAGCCCCTTAGCCGAAACTCGTTGAATCACCGGCCGGCCCCGGGTCTTTCACATGCAAAGATAGCCACTTGCGATGGGTCCATGGCACGGGACACGCACCCGGAGGCGGGGATCGACACGGCTTTCGTGCTGCTTACGTGTCACTTGAAAGGGGCGCTTTTCATCTTAAGGGGTCGTCCCTGAGCTCACCCTTTCCAGCAGATGTCGTGGCCGAGACCTTAGAACTCCAAGCGAGGCCAAACATTGAGAGCGAGTGAGAGCACAAGCGCTACAAAATACACAGAAGAGCTACGCATCCAAACCATCAAAACTGCGCACGCTTTCTCGCTCGCTCTCCATCCCCCTCTCCCCCCCCTCTCACCCCTCCCCCTCGTCCCCCTCTCCCCTCTCCCCTCGCCCCTCTCCCCCCTCCCCCTCTCCCCTCTCTCCCCCTCTCCCCCTCTCCCCCTCTCCCCCCTCTCCCCCTCCCCCCGGGGTCCCCCTCTCCCCCCTCTCCCCCTGCTCCTCCCCCTCTCCCTCTCCCCCTCTCCCCGCTGTCCCCCTCGTCCCCCTCTCCCCTCTCCCCCTCTCCCCCTCTCCCCGCTCCGTCCCCCTCTTCCCCTCATCCCCTCTCTCCCCCTCTCCCCCCCTCTCCCCCTCTCCCGCCTCTCCCCCTCCCGCCCCCCTCTCCCCCCTTCCTCTCCCTCCCCCCTCTCCCCCTCCCCCCCGCCCCCTCTCCCTCTCCCCCTCTCCCCTCTCCCCCCTCTCCCCCTCTCCCCCCTCTCCCCCTCTCCCCCCCCCTCTCCCCCTCTCCCCCCCTCCCCCCCCTCGCTCCCCCTCTCTCCCCCTCCCCCTCTCCCCTCTCCCCCCTCTCTCCCCCTCTCCCCCTCTCCCCCTCTCCCCCTCTCTCCCCCCTCTCGTATCCCCTCTCCCCACTCCCCCTCACCCCCTCTTTCGCCCTCGTCCCCCTCCCCCTCCCCCTCTCCCCCCTCTCCCCCCCTCGCTCCCCCCCGCTCCCCCTCTCCCCCTCTCCCCCCTCTCCCCCCTCACCCCTCTCCCCCTCTCCCCCCCTAGGCCCCTCTCCCTCCCCCTCTCCCCCTCTCCCCCTCTCCCCCCGATCCCCCCTCTCTCTCTCCCCCTCTCCCCCCTCTCCTCCCCCTCTCCCCCTCTCCCTATCCCCCGCTCTCCCCCCCCTCTCTCCCCCTCTCTCCCCCTCTCTCCCCCCTCTCTCCTCTCCCCCTCTCATCCCCCCTCTCCCCCTCCCCCCTCTCCCCCTCTCCCCCTCTCCCTCATCCCTCTCGGCCCGTCCCCTCTCTCCCTCTCCCCCTCTCCCCTCTCAGCCCCGTCTCATCCCCCTACCTCCCCCTCTTCCGCCCCTCTCCCCCTCTCCCCCCTCTCCCTCCCTCCGCCCTCCCCCCCTCGTCCCCCTGCTCCCCCTCCCCCCTCTCCCCTCGTCCCCCCTCATCTCCCCCTCTCTCCCCTCCCCCCCGCTCCCCTCATCGTCTCCCCCTCTCCCCCCTCCCCCTCTCCCCCCTCCCCCTCTCCCCCTCTCCCCTCTCCCCCCGCTCCCCCTCTCCCCTCTCCCCCTCTCCCCCTCTCCCCCTTCTCCCCCTCTCCCCCTCTCCCCCCACTCACCCCTCTCCCCCTCTCTCCCCCTCTCCCCCTCGTCCCCCCTCTCCCCTCTCCCCCTCCCCCCCTCTCCCCCTCTCCCCCCCTCCCCCCCTCCCCTCCCCCCTCCCCTCCCCCCCCTCCCCCCCCCTCCCCCCTCGCCCCCCCTCCCCTCTCTCCCTCCTCTCCCCCCCTCCCTCCCCCTCGGAATCCCACCCCCCCTCCTCCCCCTCTCCCCCCCCCTCCCCCTCCCCCCTCACCCTCCCCCCATCCCCCCTCTCTCCCCCCCGCCCTCCCCTCCATCCCCCCCTCCCTCCCCCCTCCCCCCCCCCTCTCCCCCCGATCCCCCTCACCTCCCCCCGCCCCCTCTCCCAACTCCCCCTCCTCCTTCCCTCTCCCCCCTCTCCACCTCTCCCCTCTCCCCCTCTCCCCAGGCTCCCCCCTCTCCCCCTCCCCCCTCCCCTCTCCCCCTCTCCCCTCTCTCCCCCCTCTCCCCCTCTCCCCCTCTCCCCCTCTCCCCCTCATCCCCCTCCCCATCGTCTCGCCCCTCTCCCCCTCTTCTCTCCCCCTCGCACCCCCCCTCTCCCCCTCCCCCAACTCCCCCCCCCTCTCCCCCTCCTCTCCCCCTCTCCCCCTCTCCTCCCTCTCCCCCTCTCTCCCCTCTCCCCCTCTCTCCCCCATCTCCCCCCTCTCTCCCCCTCATCCCCCTCTCTCCCCCTCCCCCCTCTCTCCCCCTCTCCCCCTCGCTCCCCTCTCCCCCCTCTCCCCTCTCTCCCCCTCTCCCTCCTCCCCTCTCCCCCTCTCCCCCCTCTCTCCCCCCCTCCCCCTCTCCCCCTCCCTCCCCCTCTCCCCCTCCCCTCCCACCTCTCCCCTCCCCCCTCTCCCCCTCTCCCCCTCTCCCCCCCCTCCCACCCTACTCCAAACCCCTCTCCCCCTCTCTCCCCCTCTCCCCCCTCTCCCCCTCATCTCCCCCTCTCCCCCTCTCCCTCCCCCCTCTCTCCCATCTCTCCCTCTCCTCCCCCCCTCCTCACCCTCCCCCTCTCTCCCCCTCCCTCCCCCTCTCCCCCCTCCTCCCCCTCTCCCCACTCTCTCCTCCCTCCCCCCTCCACCCCTCCCTCCCCCTCTCCGTCCCCCCTCCCCCCTCCCTCCCCTCTCCCCCTCTCCCCCTCTCCCACCTCCCTCTCCCCCTCTCCCCCTCTCCCCCCTCTCCCCCCTCTCCCCTCTCCCCCCTCAGTCCCCCTCTCCCCCTCTCCCCCTCTGCCCCCTCTCCCCCTCTCCCCCTCTCCCCCTCTCCCCGCTCTCCCCCTCTCCCCCCTCTCCCCCTCTCCCCCTCTCCCCCCTCTCCCCCTCTCCCCTCTCCCCCCTCTCCCCTCTCGCCTCCCCGCTCTCCCCCTCTCTCCCCCTCCCCCTCGGATCCCCCCCCTCTCCCCCTCTCCCCCTCTCTCCCCCTCTCCCCCTCTCCCCTCTCCCCCTCTCCCCCATCCCCCTCTCCCCTCTCCCCCCTCTCCCCCTCTCCCCCTCTCCCCTCTCCCCCTCCCCCCTCATCCCCCTCTCCCCCCCCCCCTCTCCCCCTCTCCCCCTCCGTCCGCTCCCCCCTCCCCCCCCCTCTCCCCCTCTCCCACTCCCCCCCTCTCCTCCCTCTCCCCCTCTCCCGCGCTCTCACCCCTCTCCCCCTCGTCCCCACCTCTCGCCGCCGCGTCTCCCCCCTCCCCCCCTCCCCCCTCGATCCCCCCTCCCCCCTGCCCCCCCTCTCCCCCCTCCTCTCCCCTCTCCCCCTCTCCCCCTCCCACTCTCTCCCTCCCCTCTTCCCCCTCTCCCACTCCCCCTCCCCTCTCCCCCCTCTCCCCCCCTCTCCCCCCTCTCCCCCCTCTCCCCCTCTCCCCCCTCGTCCCCCCCCTCTCCCCCTCTCCCCCTCCCCCTCTCCCCCCTCTCCCCCTCTCCCCCTTCCCCCCCCCCTCTCCCCCTCTCCCCCCCACCTCATCCCCCTCTCCCCTCTCCCCCTCAGCTCTACCCCCTCTCCCCCCCTCTCCCCCTCTCCCCCTCTCCCCCCCTCTCTCCCCTCTTCCTCTTCCCCTCTCCCCCTCTCCCCCTCTCCTCCTCTCCTCCTCTCCCCTCTGCCCCTCTCCCCTCCCGCCACTGTTTTACCCCAGGTCTACGATGCTGAGCATGCTGCCCGGCGGCGGCCTTTCTGGCAAGTGCTGTGTGCGTAAAGTTTTGTGTGAGTTTGTGTAATCTTGTCCTGCGAATCGCTCTAAGGCACGAGGCTCTGGCCCTTCGCCTGCAGGAGCAACAGGCACGGGACCCAAGCTGACGTGGCCCGTGGCCCGTGGCCCGTGGCCCGTGGTGGCCTCTTTTGTGAGCTCCTCCCAGAAAGGAGCGCGAGCAGGCGGAGGTGGAGATGTTGAAGGCCTGCCTTATCTTTTTCTCGGCCCTTGCCCATTGCTCTTTCATCTCCTCCCCTCTTCCTTGTCCACAACGGTTGGCCGAGGCGGCCGTGGGCAGTGTGTTCTCAGTCCGGAAGCCCCGAGATGCCGTGGCTGGGACAGCCAGCGGCTTGAAGACGATGGCCAGGCCCATTAGGGACTGGGGACCTGGATTCGAGTGGGTTCCATTATTGGATTATTTGGATTCTTCTGGCATGGTTCCTAATGTTCTCGTGCGCGGCAAAGTCTCTCACCTTGCCCAGGGGTGTCGGTGTTGGCTTGGCGAGCTTGGCCAGAGCCCAAGACAACCAGCAATGTGCACACTGCCCAGGCCGCAACCCCCGCTTCCAGAAAACATGTTTATGCACTTGAGAGGTTGTCCAGCCTTATGTTGGTGCCAAGTGCGGGGGCATCAAGGCGCCCTGTTTGCGACGTCTTTGCGGCAGCCTTTGATTCAACAAGTGACTTATGACAACCACACATAATCCACAAAAGCATTTTCTGTTCTCTTTCTTTCTCCCTGTTTGCCTCTCTCTCTCCATGTCTCCCTCTCTGTCAGGGCTTCGCCAAGGGCTGCGGCACGGGCCTAGCCACGTGTGTGGGCAGCACCGTGGCAGGAACGGTTGTGGGAAGCGGCTCCCGACTCAGAGAGCTTTGACTCGCCACGCTCGCTTGTGAGAGCTTCGTCTGAGCTCTTCGTGAAAGTTTCTCTCTGTCGGTCAGCCTGTCGGTGCTTTTGAGAGGCCAGATCGTTCGTGGTGTTGTCAACACCCCCGGAGCCATTCTGCGAACTGCCCGGGGAGAGGCTCCTGTGCGATGCGGCTGCTTTCTGCCACCTCCTTTCTCTCCTTTCAGTTCGCGTCTGCGGCCTTCACCTCTCCTCGATCGCCGCACCAGAACTCAATGAGTGCCCGCCGCACGTCGGATCATGTCACGTCTCTCTGGGAGGTCTGGAACTCCGAGACGCGGAAATGGGAGAAGGAGCGACAGCCGAGCGGAGAGAGAACGAGAGCTCTCTCTCTCTCTCTCTCTCGCTCTCCTCGGTGTCTTCTCTCCTCTGTCTCTTCTTTCTTTCTTCAAGTCACAGAGAATGCAGAAGATAAGAGTTGAAAAGGGGTGGTAAATCCCCCAATTTGCCGACGAAGAACAGCATTTACATCGAATCTCCACCTTTGGGCACTCGAGGGACCTGCTGAAATTCTACGCTCCGGGAAAAACTCGGTCTTGGGATCTAGGTCGATCACTCCTGAGGTGGGTTTCTCTGAACAGGGTGAGTGCTCCGGGAGTCTAGACTTAGGGAAGTTTCCAAGGAGACCCCCCCACCCCCAAAACAAGAGCTCCATCATCATCCGTCACAAAAAGCAGAGGACTGGTACTCCTTGCCCGAAGAAGCTGCTGAGGCCGGGGGCCAAGAGGAGCACGAACGTAGCACTCGTGGAGCACCACTTGGCAGCTCAGCCCCTGCTCCCCCTGGTCAGGTCCTTTGCCAGGATGACGAGGAGGTTCGGAGGGACGGGAAGGGGCGGGAAAGGGCACAGTGTTTTCACTTGTGTACGCTCTGGCTCTCAACGCTGTCAACTCGGTGCAGGCGTGCGGCGAGAGCCGAGCCCGGACAGGGTCATCCAGGAAGGTGCACCACACGGAGCTCTACGATATCTTAGGTGTCCGGCCCGAGGCAGGGCTCGTAGACCGGCTTTTGGAAAGTGCCGTAGCGTGAACTGGCGCGATTGCGCGCGCCAAGCCCAGCGAAACAATGAGCAGACCACGCAGGCGGCGTGCCCCATCGTGCCTCCCTCCCCTAGCCGCTAGACCGCTAGAGTAGCCATCGCTAGCCCGTCTAGGCAGCCGGTGATTTGGTGGTCTTTGCATGTTTTTGCCAGGCCTCGGAAGCGGAGATACGCCGGGCCTTCTACAAGAAGTCCTTGGCCTGCCCCTTTGAGAATTGCTTTGTTTAACTGTTTTGTTCCTGTTGCGACCTGTGCATGTTTAGATTCTTCTAGGCTCTTCTGGACATTCTGGACAGCATGTGGCCTCTCTCTTGCAGAAAGGCCCTCCACCCAGACAAGAACCCGGACAACCCCGAAGCGACGAAGCAGTTCCAGGTGGATACTGCGGTTGATGCATGTTGATGCGCGAAGGAACTCGGGGGATGGGCGCTGCAGCGCTTGCAGGCAGTCAGCGATGCGTACCGGATCCTCGGCGATGAGGAAAGGAGGCGACGTGCGAATCCACTCAAGCGCCAGTAATGTCATGCAGCCATGCACCTACACGCCCCGTGGCGGCGTTGCATGGCGCTGCCAGGCGCGCCTACGACGAATTGGGCAAGGCCGCAATTTTTTTCGCACCTGATCACTGAATTGTATGCTCAGACTGCTGACGCTGTGAGGACACGGCTGCCGCGAACCTTCCGAAGATCGAGCCGGGCAGCCTTTTTCGGTGGCACATGGAAAGTTGCTGAGAGAGGCCTCGCTTCAAGGCCCGTGGTGTTCTTTGCGGCACTCTTTGGGACTCACCACTTCGAGCCGCCGAAGATCCCAGCCGCTGCTTCCACATCTTCCATGATCTCCCATATGAGCCATGCAAACATCTGCAAACCCTCAGCTTGAACAGACGGCTGGCCTAAAGAGACTTGCGCCAGTTGGGTCACGCTGCATCATGTTGCGCTCTTCCTGAGGTTCGTGGGCCGCCTGCGCTTGGCCCAAGACATTGACACGGACATGCAGCCCGAGCCCCAGCAGCCTTTGCTGGGCACCTCCTGGCATCTCGTGCCCTTTGTTGTCCTTTCTTTGCCTTCTGCTCCTTTTGCTGTTTCCGATTATGTCCGACTTTCTGGGAAGTCCCCTCCCCAGGCTCATGATGCGTGACATCATCGCCGCAGAAGACGAGGAGAGCGGGCAGATCGACGCGCTCAAGGCCGGGGCAGAGCTCCTGTACACGAAAGCGCTACATAATGTAAATGCAAGACGAGTTCTTCCGAATTCTTCCAACGAGCAGAGGTCAGCCGGGCTCACAAGCGGATGCAGGTGCCAGATGGCAAGAGAAAAGGGTGCAGAGAGAGTGTTGAGAGCAGTCCATTTAGTCTACTTGTCCCAGTTTATGAACAAATTGACAAATCTGAGAGCACCTTCAGAGAAGTCTCACTCAGCGAGGCTCTGGAGCGACGCCGGCAGGTGCAATGCGCCGTCACACTGGCCAGCCGCCAGGGCCCCGCTTCCTTGTCGAATATGCATGTACGTATAGATACATAATATATGGGATTATATTTCTAGTCTCCCAAAAAGATTGAAAAGACTCTCTGGTGGGTTGCTTGCATCTGTGTGCGCTTCGCCATGTCCAGGCCTGGACGAAGCCCGCCTCCAAGAGGAGGCGCCTCTCGCTTCGAGCAGAGCCGCGGGAGAGAGCCCCGCCCGGCGTTTCTTTGATGTTTGTTCTTTTTTCTTGCAGCTGCAGCACGAGGACGCTCTGCACCAGACCCCCTCTTGCGAAACAGCTGGGGTTTGTAAGCCTTTTTTGGACATTTTCGGGGGTTGGCCCCTCCCGCATCTGGGAAACGCGGTTGGGGTGCATATGTATAATAGAGCCACCATCCAACAATCTTGTCATGTGCATCCAACCCCCCACTATAACATACCAGCAATAAACCCGGCAAACCCAGTCCTCTGAAGCTGCACCCAACGGTTGTCAACATGCCTCAGAATGCCTGTCGGCAGGGCCGTTGGGAGGCGGAGCAGCGAGCAGAAGCGAAGCGTTTGTCCCAGGCTCGCTCCTTCATGGGGGCCGCAAGAGTCGCACACGCTGAAAGCTCTTTCTTGAAGTCTTCTCCGTTTTGGAAATTGGCAGGGAGCGATGTGAAGTGATGTGTAGTGGCATCGGTACATCGGTACCCATGTCGTGTAGGTCCCATCGGGCGTGGAGATGCTCTACCTCATCGGCTGGCTTTATGTCAACGGCGCCGAGCAGCGCCTCGGGCACAAGATGCTGCAGTCGCAGTACGTCCCCACACGTGCGTACGACAGCTGCGGGGCACGACAGTACGACCCTGTCAGGGTCAGTGCGCTCTTGGCAACAGACAGCTTTTGTTGCGACGTGTCAGGTGGCTGGCTGGCAGTGCCGCCGCCCGCATGGTAGCCAAGATGCAGGCCAAGGCTCGGCTCAAGGGGTGCATGACGGTGACGGTTCATGACGGTGCACACGTGCCCCCAGCGGCTCCCGCTGCATGACGGTGCACATGTGCCCTTGCGGCTCCCGCTTTGTCATCACGTTCGAAAACGTTCGAAGACGTTCGAAAGTTGGAGCTTCGAAGAAAGAGGCGCACCTCTTGAAGTCCAAGGGGGAGCTCGCGGCGTCTGCGGGCCCCGGTGCCCAGTGAGCACATGACTGCTCTCGCACCTTCAGCTTGGCCCCTCAGAAGTCCGTGCTAAGTCGAGAGATGAGGACGGACGGCCATCACCGTCAACAGCATCATGAAGACGGCAGAGAGGTGAGTGACCTCTCCGGCTCACTTCACTTGCTTTTTGGGGCCCTGCTCTCTTTCCGACTGAAATAGAGAGAGGGAAAGGCGGCTCAGAGAGAGACCCCAAGAGAGTCTCAGAATTGGCTTCTCTGATATCGCGAAAAAGGAAGAAGACCAAGTCGTGGCCAGCTTATTGGGTGTGCATGGTGTGCCGAAGGGCGGCTTCATGTCACTTCTCTCTCTCTCTCTTTGTGTGCTTTTTGGTTTATATCGACTGCCGAGGCAGAGCTCAGAGCCCAAAGAAGGCAAAGATGCGATGGGAAGAGGCGCAGGTTCAGTTTTTCAATTTCCTCAGCAACGTGCCACCTTCTCTCCCGCTTCAGGTGCTCCTTCCAGCCCCGCACGGGGAAAAGAGACAGCTTCGGAGGATTCTCGAACGTCGCAGAACCTCGAGGAAGCCCACGAAGAAGTCCACGATGAGGTCGGTCGGCGCGGTGGCAGCTTGTGCACCGCGGATCTTTTCCTGCCCCAAAGAAAGCGTGCAGGCGGGGTCGAGCAGGGCTTGCCCTTCTGAAGGCAGGTTGCCCAGTTTCCCAGTTGTGTTCTGAGTGATTCGGCCTCCCCCCGAAGAAGTTTCCAGCTGTCAGCTGTGCAACATGCGCAGACGAGGTCGAGAAAGTGTGGGCTCGCGTGCTGAGGAACTCACAGGGAGGGGGGCGGGGGCGGGGCGCTTTTGTCTTCAGAGCATCTAGTTTGCCTCAAGAGGGTCGCGTGGGAGTTTTGGGGTTTGTTTGGAAAGTTGTGCAATTTTGTTCAATTTCGTGCGAATGTTGCCCTCGTCCGCCCCTCCTCCTCCTCGTCCTCCCATTCCTCCCTCCTCCTCCCCTACAGGAGAAGCGCTTGTCCCCTGGCACCGTCGTTGCGCTCTGCAACCTGAGGAGACTCTTCTGAGAGGGAGAGAGGGAGAGGTATTGAGAGGAAGGAGTATGTTTTGAAGTGTGCGATGTGACAAACGTGTCGGGTCCTGCAGAGGTCACAGGGCAGCATTATATCAAAGCGACCACGTGAGAGACCTTGTGGGAGACCGCCCGTCCACGGGGAGGGGGGTTGGGCGGGGCGCAGCTGAGACTAGCCGACGATGCGCGCCTTGTCGTGCCACGCCCTGCGCAGCATGCACATCTGCAACTGCAGTCGAAGACAAGATGCCAAGATGTGTGTGGTCACTTAGTTGCCTCATGCCTGAGGACTCAAACAGAGTTGAATGGAGAGGCCAGATCGAAGCCGAAGTCGAGTTCAACCATTCGGCAGCGTATGTGCGTATGTCCTGTCCCAAAGCAGGTTGGTGTCATCGAAGAGTTCGACGCATCTTCCGGGCGCTACGTTGTCCACCTTCTCTCGGCAGCAGGCTCAGCCAACAGGATGAGATAGCCAATTCTAGCCCACCAACGCTTCAGATTCGAAACTGCTGGTCACGTGCTTCACTTTCGTTGTCTGAGGAAGGGTTGGAACCTCGCAGGATTCGAGCCGAGAATCTTTTGATCATGGAGGATTCGCAGCTGTTTGGTGTTGCGATGTTCGAAGTTGGTTTCGGTGTTAGCTGCCACGCCCTCGTCAAGGGCTTTGCTGGAGGGTTTAGGGGCAAAACGCGCTGAAGTGTGCACAGTGTTAGCACCAGCGCAAACTTCGAGCTCGCAAGGACCCCGCGCGTGACGACGCTTCTGGAGGATGGGATATACATGGATATTCAGAGTGCAACTGTCATAAAGTTGCACACGGTGTTGCAGAGTTCCTTGCGTGTTCTCCGTGCCTTGTGCCACCATGTGACATATGACATATGATACGAAGCCGCGTCTCAGAGGAAGCTTGTCCCAAGCAGTCGCAGGCTCGGCATCCTCCACAGCTCCAGCTCCAGGGAAGCCGGACCGACAGGAATGGCTGGGCTGCTGTGAGCCATGGCCCCTTGCTGATTCTAGCGCCACCTGCACCAAAGGACACCTCGGAAGATGCCCACTGGGCACCAGGACAGCCATATGCAACTGCCATACGCAACAGACAACCTTGTGCAAGCATCGCGCACGCGTCGCGCAAAGAACTGGCGCCGAGAGAGCCGCTCACAGGTGGCGAAGATGCCGAGATCGCGGAAGCTTTCAAGGTGCCCCTTGATTACCAAGGATATTAAGGTCCTTTCTTAAAGCTCCCCGCAGGGTTCCTCGGCAGGACACAATGCCACTCTTCCACGAGACGCTCTGGAAAGTCACGGCCATCGACATCGAGTACACGCTTGCCAAGGTAGTACGGCGAGTGCCCCATTAACACAGGAGTCATGGTCTAAACTTTCAACCTTCAAGAGCAGTCTTATGGGATAAATCGACGAAGGAATGAGCAACGATGAGCAACGCATAAGTTAACATGGTATGGAGGGCGAGGAAGCGTCACAGTACGTTCAGCCAATCTTTTTGCGTTTCACGCGCCGCGGCTTGGAGTCCTGAGAGGGGTTTCCGAAAGAAGTGGCTCCGGGTGTCATGGGCCCACAGTGGGCCCTTGCAGGTACTGCGCGACATGTCGGTGGACAAGTCGGCACGGCAGCACCGAGCCGAGGCAGAGATTGGGGAGAGAACGAGGAGTGCAAAAGAGCATGCGAGAGAGTATGCGAGGGGGTATGAGTAGAGAGAGTATGTTGCGAGTAGAGGATGCGGAGAGGTTTCATGTTTTGCAGATTGGTTATCGTTTCCCTCCTTGGTCTATTGGATGCGCTGCGGCGCAGGCGCTGCGTCGCTTGGGGGCCATCCTACAGGCGAGCGCGCGTCCTCCCCCCCCATTCTGCCGCGGCGTACACCTTCCTGACACAACCCGGTTTCCTCTTCCCCGCATTCTGCCCAAAGGAGCCCCTGAGAGAGCGGAATGCCGACCTTGGTGCCTCCCGTCTCTCGCTGGAGGGCCGCGAGGCCCCAGCAGAGCCTGTACAGAAAACTCAGAAAACCGTAGACATCCATGGAACCAAGGACGAGGTGACTAGGGGGCGCAAGGACGTGCAGACTGCCCGAGATGTATCTGCCACACCGGAGGCGCCGCCGGTGGAGAGGCGCGTGAGCTCCAGGCGCGTGCAATTCCCTTTTGTGGGGCCGGGCTCTGTTTCTTTGACATTCATGTGATGGTGCGTGGATTCAGTGGATTCTGATATATTCTGATGTTTACCTTTATATTCTGATGCTTTCCTCTTTCCCCTTTGTAAGAGGTCTCCCCCTTGAAAACAGACAGGTCCTCGATCCTCGCTCGTCTTCCCCGGGTGTCCTGGCGCTCTCGCAAAAGCGGCGCCAAGGAGGCCAGCAGCCCGGAGAGTTCTGAGAGCTCTGCTCGTGGCATCTCGCAGCATCTCGTCGCATCGTGGCAACCCCAAGCCCCCCCCCCCCCCCAAAAAAAAAGGCGCGCACACACACACGCACACACAGCAAAGCAAAGGAGGGGGGCCGGTTCTGGCGCTGCCCGAGGCAAGGACCAAGGAGCAGGAAGCCAAGCAAAAGCAGATGGAGGCCAGGCCGAAGGAGCGTCATACGGTCATACAGCATGGGAAAAATCTGCGAAGATCGCAATCTGTGCGGATAGAGCAATGGCTTGCGGAGGCAGCTCTGGTCTTGATGGCTGCAGGGGCTTCCACTGAGGACGTGGACGAGATGTTGGCTGCAAGGCGCATGTGATGCTTCTCATCACCCAAGGCTGTGTGAAACAAACGTTCTCTCGTTTTGGCCCGTCCGTGATCATCTCCCCTCCACCGCCCCCCCTGGACAGGTCTGCCATGGAGTCTGAGCTTGATCCGTTTCACAATTCCGTGTAGGAGAAGCTACACGACCCCTCCCCCCCCACCCCATTTGCGCAGCAAAGGACCCCCCGGGCGCCTTTCCGCTTCTTGTAGTGTGCCGTTGCGTTGCTCTGTTCAGGTCGCTGGATGCAAACGCTCGAGGTGTATATCAGCGCGTGTCAGGGCATGTCACAGCTTCAGCAGAACTCTCAATCCTTTGCACCAGACACTCGCCTTTGAGAAAGAAAGCTCAGCCCACCCAGATATAGCTCACGCCTCACGCTGAAACAACAGTCAAGTAACGCAAGTAGAGTCAGCAGCCAAGCAGCGAGGTTGTCTGTCAGGTCTCCCCAAAATCCGACCGATGCCATGGAGGGCACGGCAGGTGCCGCCGGTGCCGCCGGTGCTGCGGGTGGGGCAGCCGCAGAGTTCAAGGCTCCAAATCCAATACGAGAGCTCCAGCATCCCTCACCTTCAAGTGGGCCCTTTAAAGCAAGAGAAGCGACTGAGAGAAGAGGTCAAGGAGAAGGCCGTTTTGGCCTACCTCCTCACCATCCCCGAGGCGCCGGCGCGGCGCTTTTGAGTGACCTTGAGCTTCACAGTGCACTGTGCGAGTGTGCGAGTGTGCGAGGTTGAGCGTGCCGTCAAGCTCCAGCGAGATGGCAGAAGCCAAGCCTTTTGGCTAACAGCATACCATGTATAGCATACCATTTATGGCATACCATGCAGATCCTGAAGCGATGCGTGAAAGTGCTATTTTCGTTCTCCTACTCTTGGAAGCAAGAAGGAGGCGAAGACGACCCTGAAAGCTGCTGTGGCGTGCCCCGGCCGATCCTTAGATTCACCAAAGGAGAAGGCGGCACCCTCCCGCACGGTGCGCCCCCTCCAGAGCCGTCAGAAGTCTCTTTGAGAAGTCTCTTTGCCATGCACATGGCACATTCTGCCTCTTGCGGTTTGTTCAGCTGGGCATCCGTGTTGAATTGCGCCGTGGTTTGCTTGTTTTGTTGGCTGCTCTCAGGTGCCTCCCCACCGAGGTGCTCGCGCGCGCCGGCGCCAAAGACGACAAGAAAGTTCCGCCTTGACTTGAAGTATAGGAGCTTGGCCGGGAAAGGGCCCCTGGCAGACGCAGAGTGAAAAAGGCCTCCCCCCCATCAGAGCTTGCAAAGGTTTCAGATGGTTTCAGCCTTTCAGCAATCAAGGAATCGAGGGTGGTGTGCATTCTGAGAGTGGCAGTCCTGCAGCTCTCCTCTGGCTCAAATCGTGCTCGAAAGAAAGTGCTCAAACATCTTCCGAAAATCAGAGGAGGACGAGCAAGAGGAAGCGGAGGAGGAAGAGGAGGAGGCGGAGAGCGCGCTCCCCTTCTCCCTGCAAGCATCAGGAGGATCCCATCTCAGGGCCCCGCTTCCCATCCGGCTCTCCTCCGCTTCAAAAAATGGCCGCCGGGGGCCCCAGCAGCAAAACGCGCGCTGTCTCTTGGAAAGCCATTTTAGCCAGGCTCCGGGAGCCGCAAAGGGGCGGGGCAAGCGTGCAAAAGCGTGCAAAAGCGTGCAAAGCGTGCAGAACCCTCGTGAGGCTCATTCTGCTGAGTTCTGCTTCCTCCGCTCGCCTCGGTGCAAATCGTTCGAGAGCTCAGGTGCTGGCCAGTCAGGACCACTGCGACAGCATGGAAGAGGAAGCGCTTTTGTGAGTTCAGTACCCAAAAAGGACTATAAGCACTGCATCACCAGCACTCGAAGCGGAGGACATGGACTCCTTGGACTCCTTGGACTTGCAGCTGGACTACGAGGAAGCCTGCAATGAGGCCACGGTTGCCTTGCACAAGCCGGAGTAAGCGTGAAAATCTGGTTGCAAGATGTGTGTGCAAACATGTATGCTTTGCTTTCGAGAGAGAGCGAGGGAGAGATGGAGAGGAGCCCAGCAAGCAAGCAAAGAAAGAAAGAAAGAAAGAAAGAAAGAAAGAAGACAGAAAGAAAGAAATAAAGAAAGAAGGAAAGAAAGGAACAAAGAAAGAAAGAATGACAGAAAGAAATACAGAAAGAAAGAAAGAAATAAAGACGCCAGATGGCAAACAGGTCGTCGACTTGCTGGCCGAGTTGCGCGCTTCGACGCTGGAGGCTGTCCATTGTCCGTGGAGGGCTTCTGGGAAGCCGGTGTCTCTGCGTCCGTCGCAGGTGCAGCAGCTGTCTCTGCGACTGAAGGCCACGGGTGAGACGAGCTAGACATTTTAAATCTTTGTCTTCCTTTAGGGGATGCCTTGCTTTTGGGAGGCCTGTCGCGGCACCAAGGCTCCTTTCGCCCTGCCTGCTTTGCCGCCGGCTGAGGACGCCTGGAGAGCTGCCCTGGCAATCTCTCAGTTGCTTTAGAAAAACGGCGACGCTTTCCGCCAGGAGCCCAGGGCCCGAGATCTGCGCCAGCTGTTCGAGGCCTCAGCGCGTCGTCGATTCAGCTCCCAACGATCCAATGCTCCTCCAAATTAGGCCCCTCCTCCCCAAAATGCTCTTCTCAAAGGTCTGAATCAATGCTCCCATCCTCAGCCCGCCATTCCAGCCATCGCCCCAGTGGCTGGCGGAGACCGTGGACCTCAGCAGCCCAGAGATCCTGGACGTCGGTTTTGAGGCGGGGCCTTCGATTGCTCTGCGAGAAGTGCTCTTTTCGAGAAGTGCTCTCTGCGAGAAGTGCTCCCGATTCTTTTCGAATCAAGACTCTGCGAAGAAAATCTGTGACGTTCGACAGGTGCCGATCGGTGGCAGGACAGTTCATCTCCACCGAGTAGTACAGTGGCAACTGACTGCCGGGTGCCCACAGGAGACTTTGCCATTTACACAGACTTTGCGGGCTGGATGTGGCTTCGGCTGGGGCTTCTGAGACTTCTGATGTGCGAGGCCCCGAGCGGCTTAAAGCTCACAGCGCCCATCCAGCACCAAGCTGCCACCTGAGATCCGGTGATGTCCGAACATGTGTGGCATCCCCCTGCAATTTGGGGGAAAAGAGCTCTCTCAGCGGGGCTGAGCTCTCTCTGAAAAAGCTTTCTTTTGGGGGGAGGATGCGCTCGGGCAGCTCCTGGCCGCCGCGCGCGCCACGGGCAAGGCCCGGGCCTCCGCTTTCCGCGGCCTCCGCTTCTTCTTCTCTCCTTAAGAGTGGGGGGGGCCCCGCCCCCCAAAACTTAGAGAGAGAGAGAAGAGCCAAAAGCCTGCTCTTCTGCTGTTCTGCTCTGGAGGTTGACTCGGGGGCCTTGCTGCACTTCTGGGGCGCCTGGGACCTCATCGCCGGGGAGCTGACCACAGCGGCGCACCCCAACCCCGAGCCCTCGGCCGGGCTCAGAGCTTTTCAGATCCTGACCGCATTACTTGAGCATCTTGAGCTTTCTGTACTTGTGTGGTCTTTTGGCTTCTTCTTTTGCCCCTCTGCCCCTCTGGTGCTGAAAGTGAAAGTCTCAGACTGTCAGAGAACGGCTCCTCACAGGCAGCCCGCTGTGCCTGTGAACCTCTCCGTATGTCCGCGAGCTTCCCGACTCAGGTCTTGCTTGCACACAGGGCGTCCACGGAGGCCGAGCTGGCTGTGAGGGTGCCGCGAGTGGAACTACAGCCGACGGTGTTTAAATTGAACGCCAACTTGGGCTCAAGGGAGAGAGGGGGAGAGTCAGCGGAGAGTTTGATGCAGTTCTCAGATGGTATTCTCTGTGCTGGCAGGGCATCCTTGTCGCGTCGTGGCCAACAAGAGAAGCCTTGCAGGCCGAGACGGGCGCCCGACTCCCCCCCCCATCACAGAAAAAACTTGGCAGAGAAAGGGGTCCCCGGCTACAGGTGGGGGGGCTCTTCAGTGATTCCCATCCTGCGAGGCGGCGGTGTATGCAGCGCCGGTCTACGCGGCCCCCGTGGTCTACGCCCCCGCGCCGCAGCCCGGGGAACGGGTGGAGGCGGACGTGATTCGGGGAGGGCCTGAAAAGGGGGCTGTAAGTGCTGTTTGGGGAGGTGGAGTACGAGGGCCAGCGCTATGTCGGCATCCTCTATGGCGTGGACCATGGCATGGCGACTGTGAGGTGCGCTGAAGCCCAGCAAAGGAAAGCCTCTAGAAGCCTCTAGACTCTAGAAGCCTTCAGAAGCCTGGAAGCTGTGCCCTACCAAGTCAGGTGCGACGCGGATCCGCCCGGCGTGATGACCGTGGCGCCGCTGTCCGTTCGTGCCCGAGAGCTGTCTCCAGTAAGCTTTCTCTGGCTGTGTCAACCCGCCGCTGAAGCGAACTCGTCTATTCGCAGCGTCGCAGCATCCGCGTCCCATCTTTGCCTTCCACTGCGCCTGTCAGCACGTCCGACGGCTATCGGAGCTTGCCCAGGAGGACGTGGGAGTGGAGAGCCTGCGCTTGTTCTGTAAGGTCTCTTTGAGGTTATGCGTCTTCTCGCCATGTCCTGCGCAGCAGGAGAACGTGACCATGCTTCCAGCACCAGATCGAGATCGGGAGGTGGGGCAATCGACGATGTTCACGATGTTCTGGAGTGGAATGAACTTGAATGAACTACCTTTCTTCTTGGTGCATTGCAGGTCGTGCTTCCGAAGATGCATCGTCGTACAAAGCATCCGCCTTGGAGATGGCACGAGGCATGCAGAGGTGACGGCTGCAAGAACACTGGAGGGCGTCTTACGCACAGCCGGCGCTCAGCGGGACAACTTGTGATATTTAGGACCCCAGGATGCTGACCTCCTTGAGCTTTTTCCTTGCAGCTCTTTCAACTCGTGTGCTCGTGGGTAGCCCGCCACTTGTCTGCGACGCTCTAAGGTCCTCTGCGCTGTAGCGAGACTGGCCGAGGCTCGAGGAGGCCGCACTTCAGCCCCTTTAGGGGCATTCAGATCCCGTTTGATCAAAAGTGGCTGTTGCCCACAAGGACAATGCTCACTCGATTCAACGGCGAGTTCGCTTCAATACCGCGTGTACAGAGAGTAGCTTGTGTAGGTTTCTGTAGGAATGTAGGCCTAGGTCTTGCCATCCGTGAGCTTGGGGTGCGGCTATTTTGCCAGTGGCACAAGCACGTCTAAGTGTGTCTAACTCAGGGTGTTTTGCTAATTACCAAGGTTCCTAAGTTACCACGAGATTCCGTATATATATATATATATAAATAATATGTATAGATATGTATATATAACTATCTATCAACACATTCTCTCTATGCACAGAGCTGCATGCGCCCCCCCAATCGCGGCCGAGCCGGGCAAGTCGGGGCAAATCCAGACTCTGGACTTCCACGGCTCATCTCGGCTCCACTTGTGGTGAGCGCTTCACCAATTTGTGAACCCTCACACAAAATTTGTACAAAAAAGGCAAGATGCCAAGTTGTGGAATCGGAGGTATCCATGACCAAAAGCGCCAGTATCAATATGGAAGCGGCTTTCGGCTACGGTGTGCTTGCCTTAAATGCCAAATTAGGCATTTAAGCCCACGGCGGTAAGTCGAGCTCTCTCCTCACGTCGCTCTTCAAGCGCCGCAGTGTCAAGCTGTGCGCTGCCCTTTCAAGACAAGTTTGGGTTGCTGAGGAGAGTGCTTGCAGTGCATGGTGCTTCTTAGCAAAATTCAGACTGCGAGTGGCCGCCTCTCCATCTCCGGGTTAACTTCGTACCATATTGTCAAGCTGCAAGCTGCTCTTTCCACATAAAGGCAGCAGAATACTTAGCCAATGTTCAGTGGAAAAACAACCGTGAAGTTCTGCCGCCACGCAAAGAAAATCCTGAAACTCTTTTCAATGGAAGAGACAACATCATGGATGATCCATTTAGCAAGCAAGAACTCGACATGGTTATAACCCGGCAAGCGAACAATAAAACTCCTGGAACAGACAGGTTGAGAGCTGAACTAGTGAAATACTTGGATGATAACAACCGAGAAAAGCTGCTCATTAATATAAACCAGATGCATGCTACGGGAACTCTTGAAACGTCACTTCACGAAGCTACTATTGTATCACTGTATAAGAAAGGTGATTCAAGCAAACTAGAGAATTATCGACCCATCGCGTTACTTCAAACCTTCTATAAAATCATTGCTTCCTTAATCAAAAACAGGCTTGCGCAAGGGCTTGAGGAATGGATTATGAAGACTCAATACGGATTCAGATCAGGAAAAAGCACGAGTCACGCGATGTTTATGCCACGTAGATTGCAAGATATAGCTGAGAAATCAGGAGACAACATGGCTATCGTTCTACTTGGGAGAAGGCATTCGACAAAATTGATCATTCTCGACTCATAGAAGCCCTAAACAGGATCAATATCCCGCAGCACCTTCTGGCCATGACTAGCAATATTTATGACCAACCACGCTTTAAGGGTTTGCGCTAACGAAGGCAACTCTAAGTTCTTTACGCAGCAGTGCGGAATACGGCAAGGCTGTCCGCTATCACCTTATCTATTTATACTTGTGATGTCCGTTATTTTCACTGACATAAAAAAAAAGACTCAACACACCCAAACAGCGACAGCCAATTCCAGGAATACATTTTGCCGAAGTTCTTTATGCGGACGATACCTTGATTTTCGGAAATCACACGCAATCTCTCAACAAACTGCTGGCGGAAATCGAGACAGAATCTTGGTATTACAACATGAAACTCAGCTACGAGAAATGCATCAACCTGACAACCAACAGACGCACATCAACCATAAAATACCGAGATGGCACAAAGGTGCCGTGCAAACAACAAGCTGTGTACTTGGGATCTCTCCTGACAGACAGTGTCAACAACAATGCAGAAGTTCTCAATAGAATAGCGATGGCCTTCAAAACAGCCAAGCAAATGAAATTATTTTGGAATAAAGCAAACACTAGCATCAAATGGAAGTTGCAGGTGTTCAGTGCAATTGTAAAGTCAAAGATATTGTACAGGCTCGAATCCATACAGCTAACGCAAAATGAGCTGAAAAAGTTGGATGCCTTCCAAATGAAAAACTTCAGGCGAATCCTAAAAAATCCACCTACTCATGTTGATAGAGCCCAAACTAACAACAGTATCATGCACAAAATCAAGAACTATGGAGTTCAGACTCAAAAACTTTCGGAATGTTGGAAAAGTCAAAAGATGAAATTACTAGGACACATACTCAGGGCTGACAGGTACGACCCGCTAAGACAAGTGTTATTCGAATTTGGAACCACCTCACCGCGGATAAATTATTACAGAAGAATAGGTAGACCAAGAGCTGACTGGCTTCAAGAAACTACGAAAGATTCCCTGAGAGCATGCGGAAAGCCACCAGCAAACACCCCATCAGATCTCGATCTAACCTTCCTACAAAACACTGCAAAGAACCGTCAAGCCCCATTCTAAATAGACATGATTAGCAAAACAGCCAACCAATCGCCAAAACACACGATATATTGAACATCGCCGCGCAGAAGATTGGACAATTGCGTCCAAATCAGCCTACGGGCTTACAAAGTAATTACAAAGTAGTTCACCGGTTTGCCACAAGTCTCTGATTACATGCCTCTTGTACAGTTACAACCCCCCGGTAGTTTGTCTATGTTCGAGTTAGTTTCACCCGTGCCGCGCACCTTTTACTCGAATTTGGCGCTGAGTGAGTGCAAGCTGCTCTTTGGTTGGTGGGTTTTTGCTACATTTGGTACAACCTCTTGGGGAGATGGCCTCTCGTCCAGGACCGGGTTGCATACGCAGCCTTAGATCAGGTCCACGTGCAAGTGTCTGCTGACGCCACGTATTCGAGGTTGAGAGCTCTTCCAGTAGGGTCTCCGGAGTCTCCAGTCTCCGCGTACATTGCGGAGATGATGGAATCGTGTCAGCGGCAACTTTGAGTTTTGTGCATTCGGGCAAAGCCTTGCAGAACTCACAAAGTCAATTGGATAGTGTCCCGACTTGTCCCGAATTGTCCCGACAGTTCTCAAGATGGCTGCCAACTGTGCGCTCGTGAAACAGGCTCCACCTCTGCCCATGTTTGCTCTGCCAGAAAGCTCTGCCCCATAACAGCCCAGTGATCCCATAGACTTGTGATGGCACAGCGCCCTCTGAGGCTTCTTGGAGCAGGAGGTTTGGGTGACAACCCCAAATCACACACTGTACTACTGTTCGTCACGTTTTTGGTCATTGTCAGCTCTGCAGACGAGAGGATGGTTCAGGAAAAACGGCTAAATTCTGAAACGTCATCTGGGCGGCTCGTCTGCTACAGACCGGCCCATGGAATCGCAGGCGTGTCTTAAGGGCAGAATTGTAAGCGCTTGCACCGCCTCGGCAGGGCCGGCCCAAGGAGGGTCCTCGGGACTAAAGGTCCATTTCGAGGCAGGACCCTCCATATCCCTCCATGGCATCGGTTTGCAGCTGCTCCAAGCGATCAGGGAGGGGTCCCACAGGGAGCGTCAAAATAAAAAAATTCTGCACGGGAAGGGTTTAGAGGGAAGGAGACCGAATCCGGATCTGCTTGTTCCAGACGCTTCTCGGCAGCAAGCCGAGGCGAATCTTAGGGCGCGCCCTGCATGCGCGCGCACGCGCTCGCGCGCGCACGCACTCGCGCACACGCGCACGCGCACGCGCATGCGCCTGCGCGCGCCCGCGCTCGCACACTCTCACGCACGCACGCGCACGCGCGCACACACACACAGTCACTAACTGACTGACTCTTGCACTCACTGATTTACTCACTCGCTCCCTCCCTCCCGCCGGCAACGGGGCCAAGGCTTTGCCTCTTCCTCGGTGCTGCTGCCGCTGCCGTTGCATGTGAGCCATGAAGGGAACCGAGCCAGTAGCGTGCTCACCCTTTAGGGAAATGTACGGGTTGAATAGCGGCGAACAGATTCTAAGCGACTAAAGGGTGACAGCCCCCAGGAGGGCTGCGCCTATGCAGATCTGGCGCATGAACGGAGGCGCACGAACGGACTCGCCTCTTCGCCAATGACGTTATGTGAGAATCTCTCTCTGTGCCCGTGCACGTAGCAGCTCACTCCTTCCCCGGGGCATGTCAGCGGGGCATGTGCTGGCACGTGCAAGCCTTGGTGGGACTCAACTTGCACCACTTCTGCCTCAGAACGGTTCAGGCAGCAGTGGCAGCCAGAACTGTAGCTTCCATGGCGCCCTGTGCGCGATGCATCTGCCAGGAGCCAAGGTGCAGGCGTGCAAATCTTGTTCAAATTCCTCAATTCCTCACAAGGTCAGCATTGTGGCCAAAGTGTCGGCTGGCTTGGCCTCCGTGGCTTTGGCATCGCGATCCGGCGACACGAAAAGCGATGCCAGGCCTGAGCTGTGCACTTATCGCGCTTAAGGCCCTAGCGCGTGGCCGTTCTGATGAGGAAGTGCAGGCCCAACGGGCCCAACGGGCCCAACGGGCCCAACGGGCCCAACGCCGACCCCAGGCAGGGCATGACAGATGGATTTCTGAAGTTTGCTTAGCCGGTCTTGAGCAGTACCGCAGTGCCTACAGTGCAGGAGTCCTCCGGTTTTTCCGAGTCTGATGCTGTTAGTGTGGAGCCAGCAATGGCGGAGCAGTGGCGTTCTTAGACTTGCTGTGTAAAGTCCCGCCGGCGTTTTGGACACGGCTCGCAACTTGCAGTGTTCGCAGTTGTCTCAGGCGGGAGCCCTGGCGCCAAACAAGACAAACAGTACTCATAGGCCCTCGGGATACGTTGGCAGTGCAAACGGTTGCCATGTTGATGTCTCTTTGTTAAGTTATGATGTGCAGTGCAGGCTGCCGAACGCCGCGCCACAGAGATCACCAAGCTGTAGACCCGAGGAGGCGGCTGCTTTGTCGTTTCGTTCGTGGACTTGGAATCTAAAGGTTTCATGAAAAGTTCAAAAGA